CAACTGTTCGCTTCTGGTGTGTCACAGTGGAACCCAAGGTATCGCAGTGTGCATGCCAGATCCACACGCAGCAGGGGCTGTACCTGAAGGCCTTCGAGATGTTGATGCCTGCAATGCATGCCAACTGTGACTGCACGTGCAAGTGGTGCGACGGGGGGAGTGGGTGTGGAAAGTGGATGGCCATGTGTAAAGATCTGCACAGCTTTTCAGAGGCTTTGGCTTGCGAGAAGGTAGACTTTCTTGAGGAGGACCGAGGGGGTAGGTTTGAGCACTGGGGGAGGAAGCCCGCATGCGTTGCGATGGAATGCTCCGAATGCGGGTTTGGCAACCCAGGTGGCATCCCCATGAAATGCGATGCCCTGGAGTCTATGGCGGACAGAGTAGTCGGGTGGCTTCGATTCGAGAATCAAGTCATGGAGGATGGGAAGGTGCACAAGAAGCAGCAGGTACCCCAGGCCGGAAAACTGGACGACCTGTGGAAGGAGTTTGTGGAGCACTCGAAGAAGGTGAAGTAAGGAACCGCATGTGGAATGGGCGTCATAAAATGCTGGAGGCATGTAGTCAATCGTGCATCAACACAATTAGTCGCGCGACTTACAATTATGTTTTCCTGCCCCGCCCCCCCTTTCCCCCCGGTCGTTTCTCGTCCCTCTCAGTACATTCATCACCACGAGCTAGCAAAGTGGCAGCGCCAAGCCCACAACATGTGCCTGGGGCGCCTTCCGCGCTAGAGTGTCGAGCGGTCCAGTTGATGATGTTCCCCGAAGAGTAAAGCTCCAAAAAGTGTGTCAGGGTGCTTTGGTGGGGTGTAGGCCAAGTTCCGCGGGTTAAATTGAGTACCCGACGTCGGGATGTTGAGGTTTCAGCGATATGTAGTGTTTTATACTGCAGAATGTATGAAAAAAAAAAACGGGGATGGGGCTAAAACGTCCCCCCCCTTTGGAAAAACGGCGATAAAACGTGCTTTTTAAGGCCATTTTCAAGCTCGTTTTTTAGGCTACTTGATGCGTACAACCACGGAGATTGACCACAAATACCCTGTGTGACATATGTGGACATTTATTTCANCATGTAGTGTTTTATACTGCAGAATGTATGAAAAAAAAAAACGGGGATGGGGCTAAAACGTCCCCCCCCTTTGGAAAAAGGCGATAAAACGTGTTTTTAAGGCCATTTCAAGCTCATTTTTTTAAGCGATTTGATGCGTACCGCGAAGATTGACCACAAATACCCTGTATAACATATGTGGACATTTATTTCACCGACGTGCTTGAAAATAATGTATGTTGTGCATTATATATGTAGAAAAAGACGGCCCATTTCGGCGACAAACCGTGAAAGTATCAGCCACAGACGCCGGCAAATTTTTGTTTTCTCCTGCTGGAAACCCTTCTTTGATATCCCAAACCGCCAAAGGGAGACGACCTGCCGCTNGTATAGAAAAAGACAGCCCATTTCGGCCACAAACCGTGAAAAAATAAGCCACAGACGCCGGCGAATATTTGTTTTCTCCTGCTGGAGACCCTTCTTTGATATCCCAAACCGCCACAGGGAGACGACCTGCCGCTGCATATGAACAGCAACATGCAACAAACAGCACACAGCAACAAAAAAAGTACAAAAACTGCAACAAAATTACCCCAAAAAACAAAAGAACATGGAAGAGAACAAGGCGCCAAACACGAGAACATGACGTGCACCACCGACACCCCTCAATTCCCTACACCACAAGACGCCCGAGNCGAACATAGAAGAGAACAAGGCGCCAAACACGAGAACATGACGTGCACTACGGACATCCCTCAATTCCCTACACCACAAGACGCCCGAGTAACCTTGTGCTTGCCCGACACAGTCTTCACCATACCCACCATCCCCGCGTACTTCTTGGCCGATACGCAGTCGTCGTAAGCTCCAACACTACACTTCGAGCAGTAGCACGACGCCTGGCGAACGCGTAGCTTGTATCGCTTCGTGACAGCCGGAAGCGTCAGAACGGTTGATTCGTCCGCCTGCCATCTCTGCGGGTTAGCTACAACCTCTTTCTCGCCACCTACGAGNGGGACGCAGTCGTCGTAAGCTCCAACACTACACTTCGAGCAGTAGCACGACGCCTGGCGAACGCGTAGCTTGTATCGCTTCGTGACAGCCGGAAGCGTCAGAACGGTTGATTCGTCCGCCTGCCATCTCTGCGGGTTAACTACAACCTCTTTCTCGCCGCCTACGAGGGAAACCCCGTCCTCTTTCTGCACCTCTACGCCTACGCCCGAGCTCTCCTCCTCCTGGACCTCCGCTCCCATGAACTGGTACAGCTTGGAACTCCCAGAGATGCCCGTCAAATCTACGAACGGGCGAGGGATCTCTCGGTGTCCAAGAAGCTTGATGTGGAACCTCTTGATCCGGTAGGGGGACCAGCTTGAAAAGTGACCTCCTCCATCCTCCTTTGCCTCGGCGTAGACTTGGAGGAAGTCGGCTGCGGCTTGGGTGTTGTGAATGCGCTGGCCCCTTTTCTCCGCTTCTCGCAACAGAGCCTTCAGCAACCCCCCGATGCCATCGTGGGCGCCTTTGAAGTGCGACGTGACCGCGAAGTTGTGGATGAGGACAACACCAAGCCTGTGCAAGCTCTTGGCCACAGCGTAAAAGTTGCGCTTCCCCTTGTACTGTTTGGCGCACCCGTCGGTGAAGATGTGCACCGTGGGGACCGGTGTTCCAGCAGTAGCGGCCCGCCCATCCCCCGTGATGTAGTACCGAAGGATGATGTCCATGGCGTAGATGTGGAAATCGAAGTCATGGTTGGGGTCACTCGATACGAATACCCATGCGTCTGTCTCATGCCGACCGTCGTCGTCAGGACTGTGGTGAACTAGAGCCACCATCATGGTCGTGGAGGGCGCAGTAGCGCACGTCAAGACAGCGCCAGCCTCGTGCTTGTACTTCTCGATAAAGTCGGTCTCCACCAACAGCTCGCCTTTGCCGAACGTCGCCAGGAGTAAACCGACCTATTAAGGGACACCCCCCTAGTGACAATTTTTAAAAATGGGCGTATGTTGTCGTACAATCCGCGGGGACCCCTGTGTCGGCTTTCCGTTAGCTTTCGTTCGAGCACTTCAGCGCGCCGATCGGGTCCCGCATCCCCGAGATACAGCATCCACTTCCTCCACACCCGTGATGCGGGGCGTCTTTGCCTTTGTCGGGCTCCTGCTACTAAGCATGGGGCGGACAAGAGTGGACCCAGAGCAGGCCCAGAAGGCTGTTGATGCGGTACGCCGCGGTCAGATGTCAGTCAGGGGTGCTGCCGAGGCCTACGGGTTAAGCAGGAACTCGCTGCACAGCCGTGTGACCAACAAGGTGGCCATAGATGCGAAGGTTGGTCCCGGGACTGTCCTGAGCAAGGAGGAGGAAGATTTCGTAGAAGATGTCTTGGTCTACGCTTCCCGACACTTTTTGCTGTTGTCGGAGGGAGCTGAAAGACGCTGTGCGGAAGATCTGCCTCGACGGGCGCAAGGTGCCCTGGGACCCAGACAAGGGCCCGGGGGATCGCTGGCTTCAGTGGTTCCTGAAGAGGCACCCGGAGTTGTCGGAGCAAGCCACCCACATCTACGAAGCAAACCGGATCGACGAAGATGACGAGTCTCGCCTTGAAGCCTTCTACGAGATCTGGGACTACGCGCACCTCGCGGAGACCAAGCTCACGCCGGACCGCATCAACACGGACGAGACAAGTGGGTTAGGGCAAGGGCTGGGGTGTCAGTGGTGCCTAGTGGTGTCTAGTGGTGTCAGTATCGACTGCTGTGGGTTCGTGCGTGAGGTACTAGCAGCACTGCGATGTGTCACAACAAAGTAGAGTTCTACTGCCGCTTCGAACAAAAACGATACTTCGTAGCAGTTCTTCCGCATATCTTTGCAGGGCGGCTGCGCCTGTCATTCACACACAGCGCCGTGTGATAATGGACCCGGTTGAGGGTTGAACATGCAGCATTCCCTGTGGTCACCTCAGTTATACTTTACCGAAGAAATGGTGGGGCTCGTTCATGATAGGACATATTTTTTGTTTTGGTGCAACACGCAGCAGCGGGCGTGTGTGCTGTTGGTCCGCACATGAATATGTGTTGCTGAACGCCGCGCGAAGTGCAAGCCGATATTTCAGTAGGACGCTTTGTTTTGTAAGCCCACTTTGGTTTGGAGCTCCATGTAAACTGTCATTGGTGGTGGAGTTTTTGATTCACACCCAACGAATCCAACAGCTGTTGCACACACAAAAAATTGTCCCGTCACCACCGCTTGCAACCGTCCCTTGCGAGCAGCGCTCAGGTGTGTGTACGCATGTATTTTTTTTTATGTGCGAACGCTGCTGCAAAAAAGTATACTATAAATAGTATATTTTTTTCTCCCATCATTGGACTCTGTCGTCTGCCCCTCTGGCCCCTATCCTCCACTTCTACTAGCTAGACGACCCAACCGGGGTCACATAGGAGGGGGGGGTTGGACCCCCTCCTGCGGTTCATGTGTGATTTACTGACTGTTCGACTGCCTTTCCCCCCGATGCACGCACATTCTCCCGTGTGTGTTATGGGTTCCACCCCGCAAGGTACAAAGTCGGGGAAGGTCATCGTCCCAACAGGCACCAAGGTGCCCGGCGCCAGGCGCTTCAACTCGCGAGAAAATACGACGGTGGTCGCCGGCATCGGCGCCGACGGCACCACCCCACCATCATCTGCAAAGGCCAGCGTATGCAACCCGCTTGGATCGAGGAGAACAACGGCGTCCCCGATGCGAAGTACATCGTCACGGAGTCATCCTTCGTCCAGAGCCACGTCTTCCTCGGTTACCTTCGAGACTTCCGCGAACAGCTCGATGCGCGCGGCTTGCAGGGCAAAGTTGCCCTCGTCGTCGACGGCCACGCCTCGCACACGACCTTCGACGCCATCAGCTTGGCCATCTCCCTGGACATCGACCATCGACCTCTTCCAGCTCCCATCCCACACATCGCACATCACCCAGCCCTCGGACGTCGGTACATTCGGAACCTTCAAGAAGGAGCTCACCAGGGTGCTCACGGCCTACCCACTGAAAAACGGGGGGAGGAGTCCGGTGAAGCGCGACATGGCTCGCGTGATTGCGGAGGCATGGAGAGGGAGCTTCGCGCCTTTGAACAACATGGTGGCATTCAAAGGGGCGGGTTTGTGGCCGGTGAACATGGAGAAGGCCATCAACCGACTACACAGCAAGAGGAAGCAACGGGAGAATGACCGCCCTATCCCTGAAGACCTCGCCGTCGTTGCCTCCAAAGAGCAGCTCGAACAAGGCCTCGGCCGCGCTGCCCTCCTGGAGCTGAAAAGACAGAGATTGATGATCGAGGGGCTCCGTGTCAACACCGTGTTCCTCGACGGGCTCACCCGCCTCAGCAAGCGCTCCAAGACTTTCGCGACCGTTCGGGCGGGCGGGGGCAAGCCCGAGGGCGGTCTCCTGTCCGCCCAAGAACACCTTGCTATTGCTAGGAAGGACAAAGAAGAGAAGGAGGCAGCTGAGAAACCAAAGGCGGAACGCGCAGAGGCAAGGGCAGCGGGGGAGGCCAATCGACCAAGTTGAGCAGGTCATGGGCAAGGCGGCGGGCAGGGCGGCGGGCGGGGCGGCGGGAGAGCCGGAGGGCGAGGCGCAGGAAGGAGTGGGGGGCGAGGCGAGAGAAGGGGTGGAGGGCGGGGAG